TTACTGCTTCTGTAGAAAACAGTGTCACCGGCCCTCCGGTGGGCCCAAATCCAATAATCTTTTAAAACAGTAATATCCTATACTAAAACCTGAAATAATCTCGACAAACTATGTATCATTTGAAAGGTTACAATCTCTAGGTTCCATATTTCCAAATTACAGAGGAACCGTAATTTATCAATTTGCAACAAGAATATTTTCATACTCCTAAGGCATGTTTAGACCTTCATTTTGAAATAGTGAAGATCATGAAAAATCATGAAAGAATGACAGAAACCTCAGTTTGTTTTCATGCCAAGAGTTCAAAAGATAGCATCCATTCGATTATTTTAGAAAAAAAGATTGAATTTTTTTTTAAATATAAAGAAAAGATATATAGATTCACCATTTGTGCTGTGGCAACAAGCTATAACGCACATACTTGTTCTTTTTATGTGTTTCTTAGAGGTTGAATTCATAACAAAATCTGCCACACACATATGGAAACGGAGGCGCCCTTATATGGGCAGTAATGGAGTCTGGTTGTGAAAAAGTTTGGTACTGCGCCAAACAAAATCTTACTGAGAGCTCATTTTTTTGGGATATCAACCTAAAATTTGAAACACAACTCGTTCAGATTTTTGGCTTTGGTTTTTTTGCACTTTTAGGTGCAAAGGCACACCAGGTTTTGAAAATATATATTTTATATAAAATATGAATTATTATTATTTTTTTTACATTGTACATTTTTCATTAACTCAAACTTCTGTTCTATAACTTTTTTTCTGTTTCACTTTCTTAATTTATTTCACTTCTACAAAAATCTGCCAAATGTCTTCTTTAAAACGAGACCAATCTTACGTATTTTCCAATTTTTCCCCTTTTCACAAGATGTAAAATAAGTCTCTGATGTCCCCAGAATGTGTATGTGAAGTTTCAGCTGAAAATACCTCGCTCGCGCTCAGTCTCTCAGGACAATTTCATCTCATGGAATGATGATAATATCAGAAACTCTCAGTAACAGTGTTCATTTCGAGTCGGACAATAATGCCTACAGAGTCAGAGTGCTGTAAAGAGATGGAACAGGTATAGTCAGGGCCGTGCAAAGACCTCTGGAGGGGCAGGTGCTCAAAGTATAAAATGGGGCACATGGAAACAAGGCTTTAAACAGGGCTGTGCTCAAAATATCAATACAGTAATATATCAATACAGATGATTCTGCATCGATACAGCAGCAAATGCATTGATGTAGTTTTGAAAAAGAAACAGAACAGAAAAGACCAATTTAAAGTTTAAAATTTAAAAAAATAATTTATGTGCTCTATATATAACTCTGGGATTAGAAACTGAAGCATCTTAAGTTGTACCAACCTGATGGCTTTTTCTTCTCTGTTATACATAATAATAAAGCTGTTATTGTGAACTGTGTAGGACAAAATCAACCTGGCCCATGTTTCTTGCAGTACAGTATAGTTTTATTTAATGGCATATCAGCATCTGTGGCTATTTTCATGGCAAAAACTAATTTACAAAAATACAAGAGTTACATTTTTTACAATGAAAATAAAAACAAAGCAAACAGAAACAGCAATTAATACTTTACAAGATTTTTAACATTAATGTTATACCTGTTCTGAGTTTGCTGCCTTTGCTGTTGATGTTGTTGTTGTTGTTACTGCTGCTGCTGCTGATACTGCTTGAGTTGATCTGAGACTGTAGACATTAAAATAAACAGAAATATAGGGTATTAGCTGATTAAACCATTTTTATGTGCCCATGACAAGATGTAAAGATTGCTGACAGTGTTTGGAACTGGCTCACTAGTTCACTGACCTGCTAAAGCTACAGATTCTGCCCAGGCTGCTATAGTATAATAATACAATAATAGTATATAATAGTAACGTTACTAGGGCAGATGTTCACAGAGGCTTCTGCACACAAAACATAAGATACTAACTGGTAAGCCTATGTGATAACTTACCAGAGTTGTGATAATATTTTTCATGGCACTCCGCGTTTTTTTAAATAAATACTGTAATAATAATAATAGTTTAAAGTAAAATTAATAGTTTTTAGTCAAATAACACCCCTCCACGCCTGTGAAACTTTTCTCCCTCAAACAGCAAGCTAACGTTACTTCTACAGCCTACACACAGCAATACAAACAATATCTCTCCGCATGCTCTCTTCACGTCGTTCTAGTAAAATAATAATAATAAGTAAACAAACATCAAAATCACTTCGCTGAGAATAAAACACCACTTACCAGCAGCCGCAAGAATTGAAGATATCCTCTGGGAATGCGCGATTGCGCGTAGCCGCGCGAAATTAAAAAATGCGTGTGCAGCGTGAGGAATCGTCCCGGATGAGTTCGTCAGGTGAAAGGTCATCATGTGGGTCATTTTATTTACGGCTAAATTATTATTCATTAATTTTACTACTAGTTAGATTGGGCAGGCATCCACAAAAGTGCCTTTAAATACAAAAAAAAGGAGAGGAAATTTTGTCTTGACAAAAGGGCACTTTGGGCACTAAGGGGCAAAAGGGCAGGTGCTCGAGCAGGTAAAATGTGACAGGGTCTGAACTATTGTCACATTCAAAATACACTGCAAAACGATGAAATTAGATGAACAATATACCATTGCCACCATGCAAAGGAGAGTGCATACCCATTGGCAGGGATAACTCTCAAGCAAATTCAAATGAAATGCCAGAACCACTGACCCTCAGGTCACACTGGGCTGACTGTGACAGCATTCCCTACAGTCATAGCCCAAGCTATATGTTCCACAGGAAACCCTCTGTTACGCACCTTCAAACAAGTTTGTTTTAAAGGGGCAACATTGAGGTTGTGATCAGGAGATGGAGACGACACATAACCAGAATTGTGAGAAAATAAAGTATGATTTATTAGAGATGATATATTAATGCAAAAATAAACAAAGATAATAGTAATAATAAGCAAATCTTGTTGTGGGCAACGAAAATATAAAGAATATCCAAATCTAGAGTTCAAAATATAAATAACTCAAGAGTATAAGGACATAAAGTGAAGCCAAATAAAAGAAAGGAACAAAACAAACACCGATTAACTAAACCCCAACCTCTTAGCTAACTAACAACAAAAAGAAAATAAAAGACAAAGATCTTCAGCGCAAAGCGCCCTCTTTACCTACACTAACTAATAAAAAAACATACAAAGGTGGCATTCACTCTCTTACCTGGTGTAGTATACATCGAGTTTACTAGGGGTTGTTTTATGTACGTCACGTGACATTTTACCTGTCCAAATTACTCTTGGTAACCTCAAAACACGCCATCAAGGCAGAACAAATTACTCTTGGTAACCTCAAAACACGCCGTCAAAGGCAGAACACGTTACACTTGGTAACCTCAGAACACGCCAACAAGGCAGACAGAACAAAACAGGGTAATGTCTGTAACAAAAAAAATAGAGCAGAGCAACAGAAAGAAACAAAAGCTCTCTTGCGTTCTTCTCCCACTTCCCTTTAAACTCGAAGATTGAACTTGATAGGCTGCGGGAGGGAGATGATGTCACGATGTAAATGAAGATTGACATCTCTCTCAGCCAACAGCGGACAAGGGATGACGCAAACCTAAGAATGGGATAGTGGTAGAAGAGAAATAGAAACCAAAAGAAAAACATACGCGACCACAGGGACGTAACACCCTCCATAAACTTTGTTTAATCAAAGGCCAACCTAAGCCTGCTCAAGGGCCTAGGACCACAGCTTCAAATTCAGAAGGTGTCTCATCTAGGAATGCGGCTAGGGAACCCGAAGGAGCCTCAGCCAATCACTACTCAGGGGAACATACTCTCCCGAAATGGCACCAGGAAGGCCTGACCTGGTGTCACTTATATTAAACACTTCAGTCTGGCCAACTTCCTGTCTGTCCGAAGACGCTCTGGACACTTGCCTTTAGGTAAGGCATCCAACCTGAGGGACTGCGAAGCTAACAGTGAACCACTCAGCCCAGATCTCAGAGATGGGGTATCCCGGAGAACATGACTCAGCATAGTGCTTAAAACCCTTGCTAGAGAGGGAAGTTTCTCTGCTCGATCCACTGATCTACCCAGCGTTTGTGTTTCAAAACACTGAGGAGGCCTGATCTAACTGGAAGGCTTCACAAGAGGCCATGACTGTCTGACCAGACTCAGGAGGCCGAGTACTCATAGTGAACCCAATGAGGGGAGCACATGGTCTGCCTGCTAGGCTAGATAAAGATAAAGAAAAGAGGTTCTGAGAGAGAAACAGTAACAGAAAATGTCCATTATTCATGCTAGAGCACAAGCTCAACTTCAGAAGCTTCCTGTGAAGGCCAGCTGAACTGATAGCAAGTGGCCACTAGCTGCCAGAACCCAGTGTCACTGGAAAACCACTTACAAGGAGGCCTGGTGAGGCCTACTACCTGACAACCAGAGGGCTGGCTACCTAGTACCCGTATTTGGCAACTTCCCTTTAGGGTGGCCTAGTGAGGCCCACTACCCAAGCAAGTGGGTTTAGGCAAGTTGGAGCTAAACTGTGTAGGACAGTGGCTCTCCAGGAGCAGCATTGGACATCCCTGTTTTAATCAAAGCATAGTTTAATCAAAGCTATCAAAGGACAGATCATAGTGTTTTAGGACAAATTGTGGTCAGAATTCAATTTTGACTAAATTAGTTATTCTATTTTTCCTTTTCATAACAGTATAATAATATTTCAAGGCTCCTATCTTGATATTATTTCCAGGGACATATAGTAAAGTGGTGGTAGCCAAATACTTGAAATGTGAAAATATATCATTTTGAGAGGAATAGAAGGTAATGGATTGGATTATTGCTCTAACAGTAGTGCACTTGCCACTGTTTGTTAGTACAGATGCTGTCTTGCATTGGCAGAATGTAAGAGTAAACAAGCTTTAATAGATTCGCTAATCCACCATATTGTATAGATCAGATTGATCAGGTCTATGAATATGTAACTAGTGGGTGGATTTGAGAGGATGTATTGTTGAATGGGATGGTCGCTGTGATTTCTGTACGTATAAAACTGAGTTGTGTCAGTGACAAGGACCAGGGGGCTGAACTGACAAGCATCCTCACACAGAATCTGTCCTACTGGGGAGTGACCATCATGGACAATCAAACAATCCAATACTGCTTTCCGAACAACAATTTGTCTTGTACCAGAAGTGTCCGACCTGAAGCAGAGTACATTATTGTGTACATTTTCATCGCTGTAACATCAGTGTTCACCGTGTTTCTGAACCTGTTGGTGATCATCTCCATCTCACACTTCAAGCAGCTCCACACTCCCACCAATGTGCTGATCTTCTCTCTGGCAGTGGCTGATCTGATCGCAGGACTGATTCTCATGCCAGTGCAGGGAATGAAACTGATTGAGCCATGCTGGTACTTTGGACAAATATTTTGCTCAATATTTCCTCTTATTCTTTATGTGGTTGTTGTGGCATCTCTTGGCAATATGATTATTATATCTGTGGATCGATTCATTGCTGTGACTGACCCTTTGCGATATCTGATAAGAGTCAATAATAACAGAGCTGTTGTTGCTATTGTTGTGAACTGGTTATTCTCCTTCTTTTATTCGTTTTATCTGTTGTATGAGTTTTTACTATATCCAGAGAGGAACCACACATGTATTGGAGAATGCATACTTGTTGTTACATTGGAAAATCTTCTAATAGATGCTTTTGTTTGTTTAGCAGCACCTTGTTGTATAATTATTCCTTTATATGTGAAAATCTGCTTTGTAGCAAAACGGCAAGCTAAGCATTTAAATTCAGTCACAGAAAAGAAGGCCAAATCAGAAAAAAAGGCTGCAAGAACCTTAGGTATTGTAGTACTGGTTTATCTTCTTTTTTGGACACCGTACTATATAGTTACTCTTTCTTTTGGGCATGACGAAAATGACACTCTTATAATTAACGTAATGTATTGGATGTTATGCATGAATTCCTGTATGAATCCACTTATATATGCAATGTTTTATCAATGGTTCAGAGTGTCGGCAAAATACATTTTGACACTGAAAATATGTGAACCTTCATCAGCATACTTCAATCTGTTCCCAGAAGAGAAATGATCACTCTCGCATGAAGCACAAATGTAATTTCCATCTGTCTATGAATGGAATATTTAGGGTTCTTGTGTTAAACACTTCCTTATCAAACATTAGATGACACCAGAATCTGTGCAACACCAATGTTTGTGAATAGTTTAAATATTCTGCCTATTATGTATGTATATTGAGAACATGTGTGAGTAACAGTGAGTAACATTTTTGCTCTCTTGGAGTCCTTACATGACTAAATTAACTACAACATTATCTTTAAATACAGTGTCATCTTTTTATAAGAAAACAAGACAATGCAAAATACAATTGTGGGACAAACAATAAAACAGCAGCTGTAAATGAATAATAAGGTCTGTGATATGTAATTTTTCATAATATGTTATGTTCAGTGTTTCGATGTTTATTATTGAATATGGAGCCCTCTTCCATTTGACTGTCGGGAACTGATAAGATCAGATTATCTGTAATCGAACAAATGGCATTTTGCAAACTGTCAGTTGTAAGAGATAGGCTATCTCCGTTTTAATGTGTTTAAAATATGCTGGAATGTATGATGATCAGCAAACCACACTTAAACATGGGTCAGAAATAAAGGAATCAACTAAACACTTCATATGGCATCCATTTTCTAACATTCGCATATTGTTAAGCATCTTACATTTTTTAAATTGTAAATTTTTTCTGTTGTAATGGGTTGAAATAAATATGTTCAGATATGTGTTTGTGTGATGTTTGAGTAAAAACATATACAGTGTGCAATTCTTTGCCCCGTGTCTGCATTTCTGCATTTTTTCCATGTTGCATATGGTCATACAGTATTTCATAATGGTAGGCAAAGCAAGGCAAGTTTATTTATATAAATATATAAAGTAAATGTCATGCACAATGGTAATCCTGCTCTGTTTACATTGGAATTATTAGAGATATAGATTTTTTTTTTACTTTTACTTTTATTCAAACTACTAATCTCTAAAAAACGTGTTTAAACAATTAGCAATTAGCACAAAAAGACAATTGACAATTAGCACAAAAAGAAAAACATATAATAATGGTCTTGTCACAAAGTAAAAACCAATCCAGATTCAGGGAGACCCAGGAAGTAAGGGATGCCGTCAAGCTGAAGAAGGAGTCCTATCGGGCCTGGCTGGCTTGTGGGACTCCTGAGGCAGCTGACGGAGACCGACAGGCCAAGCGGACTGTAGCCCGGGTGGTTGTGGAGGCTAAAAATCGGGCCTGGGAGGAGTTCGGTGAGGCCGTGGAGAAGGACTACTGGTTGGCCTCGAAGAGATTCTGGCAAACCATCTAGGTGCCTCAGGGGAGGGAAGCAGTGCACTACCAACGCTGTTTACAGTGGAGGCGGGCAGTTGTTGACCTCTACTGGGGATGTCGTCGGCTGGTGGATCTCCTCAATCTCACTGACACGTCTTCCATTGAGGAAGCAGAGGCTGAGGGCTCGGAAGTGGACTCGTCCATCACCCTTGCTGAAGTCACCGAGGTAGTCAAGTAGCTCCTCGGTGGCAAGGCTCTGTGGGTTGATGAGATCCGCCCTGAGTACCTCAAGTCTCTGGATGTTGTGGGGCTGTCTTGGCTGACACGCCTCTGCAACATCACGTGGCGGTTGGGGACAGTACCTTTGGCTGGCAGACCGGGGTGGTGGTCCCTCTTTTTAAGAAGGTGGACTGGATGGTGTGTTCCAACTATAGGGGGATCACACTTCTCAGCCTTTCCGGGAAAGTCTAAACCAGAGTACTGGAGAGGAGAATTCGGCCGATAGTCGAACCTCTGATTCGGGAGGAACAGTGTGGTTTTCATCCCGGTCTTGGAACACTGGACCAGCTCTATACCCTTTCTGGAGGGTTCATGGGAGTTTGCCCAACCAATCCAAGTGTTTTTTGTGGATTTGGAGAAGGCATTCAACTGTGTCTCTCACGATGGTCTTTAGCAGTATGGGGTCAGGGGCCCTTTGCTAAGGGCTGTCCGGTCCTTGTACGACCAGAGCAGGAGCTTGGTTCACATTGCCGGCAGTAAGTCAGACTTGTTCCCGGTGCATGTTGGACTCCGGCAGGGCTGCCCTTTGTCACCGGTTCTGTTCATAACTTTTATGGACAGAATTTCTAGACACAGCCAGGGGCCGAAGGGTGTCTGGTTTGGGGACCATGCGATTTCGTCTCTGATTTTTGTGGATGATGTTTTCGTGCTGGCCCCAACAGACCAGGACCTTCAGCATGCACTGGGACGGTTTCAGCCGAGTGCGAAGTGGCTGGGATGAGAATCAGCACCTCCATATCCAAGGCCATGGTCCTCAGTCAGAAAAGGGTGGCTTGATCACTTCAGGTTGGTGGAGAGATCCTTCCTCAAGTGGAGGAGTTTATTTATCTTGGGGTTTTGTTCACAAGTGAGGGAAGGATGGAACGGGAGATTGACAGACGGATTTGTGCAGCTTCTGCAGTACTGCGGTCGATCTACCAGTCTGTCGTAGTTCTTCTGAGCCGCAAGGCGAAGCTCTCGATTTACCGGTCAATCTACGTTCCTACTCTCACTTATGATCATGAGCTGTGGGTCATGACCGAAAGGACAAGATCCCAGATACAGGCGGCCGAAATGAGTTTTCTCCGCAGGGTGGCCGGGCGATCCCTTAGAGATAGGGTGAGGAGCTTGGTCACTCGGGAGGAGCTCAGAGTAGAGTCGCTGCTCCTCCACATCGAGAGGGGCCTGCTGAGGTGGCTTGGGCATCTATTCGGACACTCAACCGAGACTGCCCTGCTCTCAGTAATTGAAGCTCTGTGTCTGGCAAGAGCAGCTTCCAAATCCTCAGATCTCATCCTGCTGGAGCTGTCTGCTGCCTTTGACACAGTTAACCACCAGATCCTCCTGTCAATCCTAAAGATGAAGGGCATCTCGGGAACTGCACTCCAATGGTTTGAGTCTTACCTCTCAGGTAGGTCCTTTCAGGTGTCGTGGAGATGTGTGGCATCTAAGACCCAACATCTAGCTACTGGGATGCCTCAGGGCTCAGTGCTTGGACCACTCCTCTTCTCCATCTACATGACATCACTAGGATCTTTGATTCAGAAACATGGCTTTTCCTATCATTGCTACGCTGATGACACGCAACTCTACCTCTCATTCCAGCCTGACGATCCAACGGTAGCTGCTCGTATGTCAGCCTGCCTGACAGACATTTCTGGCTGGATGAAGGACCATCATCTTCAACTAAACCTTGCGAAGACAAAACTACTTGTGATCCCAGCCAACCCAACACTTCATCACAACTTCTCCATTCAGCTAGGCTCATCCATAACTCCATCAAGGTCAGCTAGGAACCTTGCGGTTGTAATTGATGATCAGTTGAAATTCACAGACCACATTGCTAGAACTGCCCAGTCCTGCAGAATTTGCCTTGCACAACAATAGGAGGATCAGGTCCTTCCTAGAGCATGCTACACAACTCCTTGACCAAGCACTATCCAGACTGGACTATTGTAATGCTCTCCTGGCTGGTCTTCCAGCTTGCTGTCAAACCTCTGCAATTGATCCAGAATGCTGCAGCCAGAGTGCTCTTAAATGAGCCAAAGTGAGCACACGTCACTCCTCTCCTCACAAAATTGCGCTGGTTGCCAATTGCTGCTCACATTAAATTCAAGGCACTGACGTTTGCCTACAGAACAACCACTGGCACTCTTCACTCTTACCAAAACTCATTACTTCAGACTTATGTGCCATTCAGAAACTTGGTACGAGACAGTCCTTCTCTCCCCACTCTCTCACACCCGCCGACTTTTATGCAGTCTCCCCACGCCAATTACTGCAATCAGAAACAGATGTTTGTCTTTTTGCAATGGACCTACTTAGCGCTCGGCTCCCTCCTTGCTCTCCCACTGCAAACTCCGCAAAACCACACACCCCTCATCACACATAGTTTAACCAAAGCTGTCTAAGGAATAATAGTTTATGAGGACAAATTGTGGTCATAATTTAATTTTGACTAAATAAGTTATTCCATGTTGCCTTTGTATAACGGTCTGATAATATTTCAAGGCTCCTCTCTTGAGATTATTTCCAGGTACATACATTGGTGGTAGCCCAATACTGGAAATGTGAAAATATCCAGATTCCATCTTTAGTTTTTATTGTATGTTAACATGGATATATTCTTTAGTGGAATTGAAGGCAATGGATTGGATTATTGCTCTAACAGTAGTGCACTTGTCTACTGTTTATTAGTACAGAAGCTGTATTACATGGGCAAAATGTAAGAGCAAAGTAACTTTATTAGATTCGCTAATCCACCATATTGTATAGATCAGATTGATCAGGTCTATGAATATGTAACTAGTGGGTGGATTTGAGAGGATGTGTTGTTGAATGGGATGGTCGCTGTGCTTTCTGTACGTATAAAACTGAGTTGTGCCAGTGACAAGGACCAGGGGGCTGAACTGACAAGCATCCTCACACAGAATCTGTCCTACTGGGGAGTGACCAACATGGATAATCCCACAATCCAAAACTGCTTTCCGAACAACAATTTGTCTTGTACCAGAAGTATCCGACCTGAAGCAGAGTACATTATTGTGTACATTTTCATCGCTGTAACATCAGTGTTCACCGTGTTTCTGAACCTGTTGGTGATCATCTCCATCTCACACTTCAAGCAGCTCCACACTCCCACCAATGTGCTGATCTTCTCTCTGGCAGTGGCTGATCTGATCGCAGGACTGATTCTCATGCCAGTGCAGGGAATGAAACTGATTGAGCCATGCTGGTACTTTGGAGAAATATTTTGCTTAATATTTACTCTTATTCTTTATGTGGTTGTCACAGCATCTCTTGGTAATATGATTATTATATCTGTGGATCGATATATTACTGTGACTGACCCATTGGGATATCCAGTAAGAGTCAATAATAACAGAGCCGTTGTTTCTATTGTTGTAAACTGGTTATTCTCCATTATATATATTTTTTATCTGTTGTATGAGATGTTCCTGTATCCAGAGAGAACCCAGACATGTATTGGAGAATGCTTACTTGTTATTACTTTGGAAAATCGTGTAATAGATGCTTTTGTTTGTTTAGTGGCACCTTGTTGCATAGTTATTCCTTTATATGTGAAAATCTGCTTTGTAGCAAAACGGCAAGCTAAGCATTTCAATTCAGTCACAGAAAAAAAGGCCAAATCAGAAAAAAAGGCTGCAAAAACCTT